TCTCTGTGTGTCTGTGGCTCACTTCTCTCTCCCAGCTCAAGCCAAGAAATGTGTCACTGACCAGGGCTCTCATGCTGTCCAGGAGATGCTCATGCAAGTTTCCAGGGCAGCACATTTTATTTTTATGAATACAGCATAAAACCAAGAACATTCCTAGCCCTCATCGTTTTGATGAAGAGCATCAGTAATAATCATATTCATCACCCCTAAACTTCACAACAGTGACACTTTAATACACTTCATTTACAAACTAAACCAGATACATTGCCCTGCTCTGATACAACGAAGTTCCCTCCTGATCAGTATGTCACAGTACACCTGCAAGTATACAGAGTGATCATTTTAAGCCATGTGCATATTTTCATTGACAAAATTTTTAAAAACAAATATTATAATTTCTGTTTCCCCTAATATGTTTTCCTCCTTATAACTGGTTAAGTGGTCTGGCCAATAATGAAGGAGACTTCTCTTACCCTTCTGAATACAATGAGTTTGGAAGACACTTCCTTTCTGGCTCCCACATCCTCACTGGGCTGGGGTAGCTATGTTGTTTGAGATTGGTTGGAAAACCTGGAGAAGAGTTGGAGGAAGCTGGGTGTGGTGGCATATGCCTGTAATCCCAGCACTCCGGAGGCTGAGACAGGAGGATTGTTGTGAGTTCAAGGCCAGCGTGGGCTACAAAGTGAGATTAAGGCTGGCTTGAGCTGCATAGTGAGACCCTGTCTCAAAAAGAAAAAAAAAAAAAAAGTTGGAGGATGGAGGGAACTAGGATGCCCCTAGTTCAAAACATGAACTCTGGAATCTGACACTCCGGGATTGGAATGTCCATGGCTAAATGCCCTCAATAACTATTTTCCTTCCCTTCTTTCCTAATACTTGAATTATTAAGACACTGCTGATCTTGGAAATTCTACTTCCTGTATATGAGAATATGTGAAACCATATTGCTTAATGTCTTTATAACACTGGTGTTACAATAATAACAATATATTTTATAATAAACCTTTGTTGATTGATTAGTATGAGTACTCTCTGCAAACACAAATTGACATCATAAATGTTTTGCTGTTAGTTCCACAAACAATGCAAAATACCTCAGGTAATTGTAACAAAATCTAAAAATGGCACAAAATCCAGCACAAATTATGCTTAATAGCACAGAGTACTAGACATCTGCCAATATTCAATAAAAGAACTCGATATTCTGTAGCATCAGAAAAAAGGGGGATGGTTTCAAGTCTTCTCCCAAAGTAGAAACCAAGTGGAATCCTTGATAAATTTTCCCAAATAAGCTAATTATTCAGTAGAGTTCCTTTTATATGAATAGGTCAGTGTAAACTGAGTCCCCACATAGTCTGTTCATTTTTAATGTGATTTTGCAAGTTTAGAACTTCCACTTCAAGAGATCCAACATGGCTGACTAGGGGAGGAGTTGCTCAAAGAGAAATTCCCTGAAGTCACAGGTACCCTGTAGTGAGGGATAGTCTTACACTCAGAATAAGAAAATTAATTGGCAAGATGATGCATGTAGATCAAACCTAACAAGTGGATCATTGGAGAGGACAAGCAGAGCCAATAGGGCTGGTCCACAACACTCCAGCACCTGCCCATCTAGGGACCAGCCATTCTGAGAGCATGCCAAATAGCCTGCGAGAATGACCAAGAGACTGATGCTGTTTAGGTTGGAATCCTGAGTCAGACTCTACAAAAACCAGCCCTCTCTCCCCAGCTCTTCTGCTCTAAACACTGGCGAACACTGTAGCCCAGCAGCATCCCCACCAGCACTCACCAAGGGCAAGGGAATACCTACTGCCATCCCAAGCAGAGGGAATAAATGGGCAAATAGGACCTGTGGGTTCCTGCAGGCATATACTCCTGTCCATGGACTCTTCAGACTCCCCCTGAGAGTGAATTGCCCCCTGATCCCTGTGGTACCGCACCAGTGAAGGGACATATCAGCTGTCTCCTGCAGACCTCCCTGTGGGCATGCAAACCTATTCACAGATTCCCAAGTCCCCCACTGGAACATGGGCTTGCCAGACTTTGTGGTTCCCCCACCAGCAAGTGAACAAAGTCCAGTGGTGGTGGGAGCTGCCCTAAGCTAAGCCCAGTGATAGTAGCAGATTCTACCTGCAACCTGGTGGAGAGAATTCCTGAGACTGGGCTTGTTTGGGTTTTGAGCACAAGGAAAAAGGGTGAATTTGGGGTGACTGCCTGCAGTCAGCCTCTAGCCAAGGCAAGGAGAACACTGTGTGAACACTCAGGCTTTTTGGCAAAGTGTCCTGTAACTCACATGTACATTCTCTTGGAGTATTTGGTCTGAGTTTCCACTGGATATTTTTTCTGTTTTGGTAGTGGTGGTGGTGGTGGTGGTTGTTATTGTTGATTTATTAGTTTGTTGTTTTGTTTTTTGCTTTGATTTAGTTGGGTTTTATTTTTTTCCTCCCTCTTCTTATCCCCTATCCCATTTATTCACCTCATTTCCACAGAAATAGTATCTTCTTACTTTTTACTTCTTTTTTCCACTTTTTTTTTGTTTGTTTTTTTCGGGTACCGGGAATTGAACTCACGACCTTATGCTTGCCAGGCAGGTGCTGTGCCGCCCCTGAGCTAAATCCCCAGCCCCTATCTTCCACTTTTTAAATTCTTCCTCTCAAGTGTTCAATTCAACATAGTCTGCCCTCTCTCAACTGATCCTATCTTTTCATATATTAACCTTCTATCCCACTGATAGCCAAATTTAGAGCTTTGGCAGACGTGATGGTGCACGCCTATAATCCAGGACTCAGAGATAGAGGTAGGAGGATCTGTGAGTTCGAGATCAGCCTGGGCTACAAAGTGAACTCAAGGCCAGCCTGAACTGCATAGCGAGATCCTGTCTCAAAAAGACAACAACAACAAAAAAAGAAACTTGGAACTTTCAGTGAATCAATCTGGACTGTTATCTCTCCCCATGTACTAAATTAAAGTCAACAGTCTAAATGTTAAAACAGAAACAGTGAACCTCCAGGAAGATAAAACAAGTTAAAAAAATTTTCTTGAGTCATAGATGTAGGCCAGGACTTTCTAAGCAGAACTCAAATTGCACAAGAAATAATTGTGAAAATCAACAAATGGGATTATGTTAAATTAACACCTTCTGCACAGCAAAGGGAACGATCAATAGAGTGAAGAGATACACTACAGAATGGAAAAACATTTTTGCCAGCTGTTCTTCAGACAGAGGATTAATACGTAGAATCTATGAAGAACTCTGAAAAATGAAACCTTTCCAAGTAAAAGACCCAGGCATAAAATGGGCAAATTAAATGAATAGACAGTTCTTGGAAGAAGTATGGATGGATAAAAAAAATGTATGAGAAAATGTTCAACATCTCTGGCCATTAAAGAAATACAAATTAAAGCAACACTAAATCATCTTACACCAGAAAGAATGGCAATCATTAAGAAATCAAACAATAACAAGTGCTAGCATCGCTGTGGTGAAAAAGAACCCTCCTACATTGTTGGTAGGAATGTAAACTAGTACAACTATTGTGGAAATCAGTGTGGAGATTTCTCAAAGAGCTAAAATTAAAAATTCCATTTGACCCAGCTATTCCCCTTCTAAGTATCTTCTCAAAACATGTAAAGATATCATATTACAGTGATACATGTACACTAATATTTATAGCAGCACGACTCATAGCAGCTGAATCCTGGAAGCTGCCTGTATGTCTCTCAACAAGTGAATGGATTAAAATTTTGGTATCCATCCATAATGGACTACTACTAGGATACAAAGAAAGATAATTTTGAGACATTTGTAGAATTGGATATACCTGGAAAATATAATGTTGAGTGAAGTAAATCAGATGCATATCTTAAATATCATATGGTATCTCTCATTTCAGTATGGCAAAGTACAAATAAAGAAACAAATAAAGAATTGACAGAAGGAAACAAGAAGATAGATATTTTGGAAATGGGAAGGGTTCCAGGAGCCCAAGGGTTAGAGAAGAGAGTGAGGGGAAAGGGAAGCTGTGTCATGTACACATACCAATACCCACAATGCAGGTAAACATCATATGTTGTAAACATGAGCTGAAAATAATAATAATGATAGTAATCAAAATAGGGAAAGGAAATTTAGAGATAGAGGGAGTGAGGTCAGTGGCAGTGAAGGGGGTTAAAGCAGAATCAAGATGTGTTATGTGTATGTACTACTCCCTAAAATGAATGTAACCTTTATTTATGTCAAGCATATACTAATAAAAGAAATTTTTTTAAAAATGTACATTTCAAGAACCAACAGTGAAATGAAAAAAAGTTGATGGGAAATGTGTTATGTTTTGTTTTTATTTGGAATCATAAAAGAAACATTCTAATAAACCCTTAAATTCTTCTTCATTAATGTGATTTAAGTAATAAATTTATATAAAGATTGAACTGATTTATTTACATACTTTCAACTGTAGAAAAATGATTCTTTGTGTGTGTGTTTACATCATCACACCCAATCAAGCCAAACCCAGTCATTAACTAAAATGATTAATGAGTGCAGCATTAGCTGATGGCCTTAAATTTAGAATGTGTTACTGATGTCAGGCTTGATTAGTTCTCTATCTAAACTGATGCTACTAAAAGCTTTGAACAATTTAGATGTAGTCATTGAGTAAAATTCCAATGGGGTGAGAGAAGTTCTATCAGGATTCATTGGTGAATTTCCTTGTGCAGATGGGAGAGAGAGAGAGACAGACCCTTTACTGATGAGATGGGAAGAACAGGAAGCAGGGGAGTTGATCAGATAGCATCAATCATGGCAAAGGTGAAGAAGCTTGGAATTAAAAAATCCCATCTTTATACAAGGAATCCCAAATGGTGTAAGGGTATGAATATTGATTATTTCAGCTTCAGAACTTCTCAAGAAATAAGAATAATAAAGGAAGGAAAGGCAGAAGGTTAATACAGCCCCATGCCTTAGTACCTTCTCTAAAAATGAACCCACAGAGAAGTCATTGTAGTCAGTGGTGGGGACCAACACTTTTATTAATAAGGTAAAAGGAAAACATGGTAGAGGTAAAGGTGATGTAATCCCTAGTAGTCACTGGGTGAAGTGATCTCCATCATGGGAGTTTCAGGAGCTAGAACAAAAACCAGAGAGGTGTGGCCATCAAATTACAAGGTGAGGGTCCAGCCAACTAAAGAATTGTTCTACATGAACTTGAAGATTAGACCGAATTCAATCCTGAGAGTACTGCCTGAGATTCAAGGGAGTCAAGAAGAAGGTAGCTACGACTTTAGGAAACTGAGCAGCAGAGGATGTTAAATCATTTCCAATGTTCGTGCCTTTAAAACATTTTATTATTGGTCCAAATGTCCCAAGCCATTTTAAATGAGGTGAAAACACTCCTTGTTAGAGCAACATTCTCTGGATATTTAGATTCCATCGGTCTGGGGGCATGGTGGAGGGGGGTCTGTCAGTGGATCATATCCATCTGGAAGGTTCCTGTCATCTGTCATTAATGTAGTTTAGCCATCTCCAAGAAAAAGGCAGCAAATAACTTGGACCCCTCTATGTAGTTCCACCTAACAAGGGAAAACAGAGAAAAACTTTGTTACAATTTTCAATCAAATGAAAAAGGGAAAGGCTACCATTTAGATAAGAACATCTGATATTATAAATGCAGTCTAAAGAACCTAACACACTTCTGAGATCCCAGGTGAAAGGCAAGTGGTAAATTCAATGGGAAACAGCATTATTATTAAGATGGGAGGGAACCACAAAGAGGAGGGGTGGGGAGGATGGGGAAGGAAAGCAAATGTCACACAACTCAGATATGTTCTGTGCATGTGCCAACTCCCCACAGTGAATGTAATTATTACGTACTGCAAATATGTGCTGATAAAAATAAACATTTGAAAAGAAGATGTAATAAGTCCTGGATTCAAACCCAAAAAAGACCATTTTCTTTGGTTTTATATCATTGACATGACATATCAGAGTCAAACATGCTCTTTCTCACTGATCTGGGAAGCTCAGGAGCTTTGTATAATCTGCCAATAATGTATATCTCAAGCATACCTAAATGTCCTTTGTTGTAGACTGAATATCATATCTCCTAATACTCATATTTCAAGTCACTCCCAGGGTGCCTGTTTGGAGGTGGGGCCTTTGAGAAGATGATAAAATTAAATGAGGTCCGGAGAGTGCACCTTATTTCCGTAGGGCTGGTGCCCAAACAAGGGAGGAAGAAATCACCAGAGCTCCCTTTCTGGCTGACATGCTCTCTCACACCCCCGCTCCATCCCCTCCTCTCTGCCGCGCGAGGAGACTGGGAGGGGAGGTGGCGATCTGAGAGCCAGAAGGAAAGCCCGCTCCAGGAACTCAGCCAGCAGCTGGACCTGGGACTTCCTAGCCTGCACTACCATGAGAAAATAAATCTGTGCTGCTTAAACCACAGGTTCTGGTATGCACAATCTGGTTCTCAGTACTCTGGTGTTCCAGAAGGTGCCGGAACCCGCCCGCATGGAGCCTCTGGACTTGGGAAAGGAGGCCCAGCTGCACAGGGGCGTGCTGACCTGTTGATCTTCTCATTCTGAGAGTGCTCCCCATCATCAACAGCCCCCAGTGGAAGCATCATCACACTCTTTTGAATAATGTCTTGGAATATTTTGGCGATAGGAATGCTTGACCCGTCTTGGATCATATCAGGTTCTGTTCCAAACACTGAAACAAAAGGGAAAGAGAGCACTGGAATAAATAATGCCCAGACTAACATTCACTGTTCTCAGATAGTGTATTTGCTTTTTCTTTCTTTTTGCTTTTTGCTTTTTCTCTTCTTTTTTTTCATAAGATTTGGTGCCTGCAGTAAGATCCTTTGTATTATAAAATTTATATTCAGAAATGGAAATACAGTTGAAAACAATCACTAGATGCCTTCTTTAAAACTACCTATGTTTAAAATTTCTTAACACAGTATTTATTTTTTGAATTCAGTATAGTGCAGATACCATGTCCATATACACTTGTCTCTATTTTCTAAGGTGTTAACATGCATAACTATTGTACAGTGATCAAGAATTGGTACATGCTTGCCAGACTTTATTAGAATTTAACCTATCCTTCCCTTTTTCTATTTCAGAATCCAAACAGAATCCCATGCTGCATATTATTATTGTTTCTCAGTCTTTTTTTTTTTTTTTTTTTTTGACACAGGCTCTCACCATGTAGTTCAGGCTGGTCTTTGAATTCACTATGTAGCCCAAGTTAGTCTCAGACACATGGCAATCATCCTGCCTCGGCATCCTCACCTAACTTCTCAGTCTTCTAATCTGTGGTAATCAGTATTTTCTTATCTTTCTTGACCTTTGCTTTCTTTAAAAGTATTAATTGATTATTTTAAAAATTTTCCTCACTTTGGTCTTATATTTTCTTAGGATTGAAAGAGGCCATGCATTTTTGGAAAGACACAAAACCATATGCCTACCTTTGTTTTCAATATGAATTAAATACTATGGAAGTAGGACTCTATTGGGTTTAACTGGTAACAGATAAACAAATAGCTGTCCTCAACTATCACCAGAATGTCACAATGTGTCTTCCATCTTTCAAAGTATCCCATGAAATAGTTTCAACTACTATCCTGCATTCTAATTTAGACAGAGATGAGCTCAACCCCTTCTAGGTCAGAGGACAAGTCACAATGATGGTGTGGAAATGAAAAAGAAAACATGCCACCTCTTCTTTATTCACAAAGCAAGGTAAGAATGTGAACAAAGGTGATGTACCTTGTTAGCTAAACTGGTTTACACACAGTAGACCAAAGGATTTCTTCTGTATTCTGTCAAGAGTGTTTCAGGTCTTTAATGGCTGTTAACCTTGGCATTTCAAATGCATATTTCTCTTTAGCTGGCATTACATTTGCCTTCCTTACTCTTCTTCCTCTTTTCTTCACTGTCAAATTTTACTGGTGAAAAATCTGCTAAAATTTGGAGTGGCAGAAACAATGGATGTAGAGAAATCTGGCTCTCAGTCTTGAACTTTTTCTCTAATTTCTCATGTCTTTATCCTTAAGCCGATAACCCCGATGGAGACAGTGCTTTAGTGAGGTCTGGCCTTACAATTCCAGCTTAGCCATTATTAGCAGTGTGGCCATAGACCTTATCTGTAACATAAGGCTGTAGGTCTATGTAAACATGTGCCAGTAGTTTCCCATCTAGCTTTTGGGGACACCGCAAAACTCTCTGTGCTTGGAGCCTCCATTTTGCTATTGTTGGTAGAATGTCTATCCTGCAACAGAAGCCACAAAGAATGGATGTTCCTTATTCCTGCTCTGGTAGCCAGTACCCACACAGGTGCCCTCTGCCGAGCACATCACATGTCCTATCCAGGATTTTAAAATCATAGAATTAAAATAAGAACCATGGAGCAAATTCCAAACAAAATCATGCTGCCTTCTGGAGAATCACTGTGACTTGAAGAAAAGATCATTGGTTTTAGAGTTTGGTACCTGGCATTGGGTTTCTCATGTGTTTTATAATTTTGTATAGTGAGATCATCTCTAGGAAGCCCATCTATGGAAATATCACATGGTGATCTGGAATGTGTCCCTCCATGAAAGTTTGATGTCTGCATCAGCCAGGCAGTCCATCAAAGGGTTTGGGAAGAACTAATCCAACCCCACAGTAGAAATTAAAGGCTTGGCCGGGCATGGTGGCGCACACCTGTAATTCCAGCATTCAGGAGGCTGAGGCAGGAGGATTGCTGTGAGTTTGAGGCCAGCCGGGGCTACAAAGTGAGTTCAAAGCCAGCCTGAATTGCAGAGTGAAACCTTGTCTCAAAAAGACCAAAAAAAAAAAAAAAAAAAAAATTGAAGTCTCAACCCCATGTGATGATGGGTCCATGGTTAAACATTCTCAGAGGTGCCGGGTATGGTGGTGCACATCTCTAATACCAGCACTCAGGAGGCAGAAGCAGGAGGATAGCCATGAGTTCAAGGCCAGCCTGGACTACATAAGAGCTCAAGACCAGCCTAAACTACATAGTGAGACCTTGTCTCAAAAAAAAAAAATTCTCAGAAGGGACTTTGTGTTCATCCAAAGCACAAGCAAAGATGGTGAACCTTGCATCTGTGTGTGCACCACACACACACACATGTAGTGGGTCTTGTTTTCAGCTCACTGCTTCATGCTGGCCCACTATTCTACAACAAGCCAGCAAGGATTATAAATTCAAATCCAATCCACTTTGCAAGACCCTGTCTCAAAATTAAAAAGTAGGGAGGGCTCAGTGTGCAGGCCTTTGGTTCAGGCCTCAGTACCGCGAAAGAAGGAGAGGGAGAAAAGGTGTTTGCTGATCCACCCACTGGTCCCACTGTAAACCGGACAGTGAAAATCTCTTAAGAACCCACCTGTTCTGATGGCTCTTTTTGCTGCAAGGTACTGAGTATCATTAATATTTGCAATCCATGGCTGGACTCCTACTACCATAGAAATAGCCATCTGGTTGGAACTATTTCTTTTGGAGAATACATCTTCAAGATGCTGCTTTACCTACAAGGTAACATTTTTTATAATAAGAGATTGCAATTTGTTCTCTCAAGCAGTGTTTCATCAAGAAATCAATTAAAGTATTTACTTGAAGAATTGGAAGGCTGTGACTTTTCCTTCATTCTGCCAGAGGACCTGACATAGTGAGCCAGATCTTTAGCACTGAGAACAGAGGCTCTGGGCTTTACCCAGTGAGGAACACTTACTTTCATTCCCCTTCTCCTCCTGTACCTGTAATCCCCAATCCTGTCCCCACCCCATTCTGATCACAGTGTCTGCTAAATAGTGTGTTACAGTAATGTTTGCTGAAAATTATGAGATGTAATACAATATCTCAATTAGAATATTCTGTTTTTGGATTTAGTAATACCTTAATGAGTATTTTGGGAACATTAAGCATATGAGAAATTTCAGAAAAAATGGGAGCCATCTCAAGCCCATCTGTGAAGGAGATCACTTCAACATCTTTCGCTTCTCCAGTGCCTTCCCAATAGCTGCTGTGTAAATCCTCCTAGGAGGGCTGGGGATTTAGCTCAGCGGCA